CAGGAAATAAATCATAACGTACTGTACGGTACGTAGCTCTTAATATCAACAGTATTACGTGAGATCGTAAAAAAGTCGACATCTTCTGAGCCAAACAGTGTCCCTAAACTATCAATATATTAATATAAAAATAGATTTATACTAATTTTAAAAAACAAAATAAAGTACAAAAATGTAAATATTTTTATTCTCCTGTCGTACTGTGAGTAAAATATGTGATTATTCTCTGTTCAATACGGAAGCATGCGCTGTTGCCAACACTCTATTTATTTTCTGTTATAAAAATAGAAGCAATAACAGTCATTTGAATTTTATGTTTGGTATAATGTTATGATACACGTTTAAATAAAATTTAGGAGAATGGAATATCTGAATGAAAATCGATCGGCGAATATCAATGTGTTTTCTTTTTGTCTTAATTTGATGCAGTTGTTAAAAAATTCGTTTAAACACATATGAGGGTCCTTTATGATATAAAAAAGACATGAAAATCAAGAAGAATATGCAATATGCCGCCGATTCTATAGAAAAAGTTATCTGCCAATGGAGCAGATTTTTCTCTGAACGACTAGAAAAATTAATTCACACTATATTAAATTCATTATTAACTATTTAAATCTGCTTAAACATGTATTAAAGTTTGATTAACGTATGCTAATCAATGTAGATGTAAGGAAGAAATGTGCACGTCGCAATAAATGTAATAGTCAATAGCGGCTCCGAAAATAAATGGTAAATTCACTTTAAGAAAGCAAGAACTAACTTTATTGTTTGCTAATAAAAGCTCCGTAATATGTGAAATGTTTTACACATATTTATAATTATATATTTGCATAATCTACTGAATATTAGAAGTATTTGTGATACTTCGTTGATGTTTATCTTTACTAATTTTAGTTACTATAAATATCACAAATTGATCGATACAACTGTATTGTGTAAATAATAATCGTCATTTCGGAATGCAAATAAATAATACAAATTATTCTTTAGTGCAGTTCCTTTTTGCTTGAGTGACAGTGAAGCAGGCAAAAAATAGGGACACAAAAATCACACAATAGCCTTTTATTCTATAAACGTTATAGCGGGTTTGCGGTTAAAAAATAGTTCCTTAAAATCGGAGTTTTACGTAAAATCGACAAATGCTAAATTGAATACTGTACTAAGTTCTATTCTTTTAAGGCAGCGATAGAAGTCGGGACAGTTAAAAATAAATGTAAAATCGAGAAACGTTAAAACGAGCCCATTATTGTGTTGAATCTTCAACACAATAATGGGCTTCGTTAAGCAACAAAGTTAATGTTATTTGCATTTGCATTTTATAAATGTTAATTTTCATATATTTTTCTTATATGAAATTAACAATAAATATAAAATTTTTAAATGTTTTTTTGTTGATTATGTGTTTAAATTTTTGCCTTCTAGATATTAAGTTAGAGTAAAATTCGTTATAATAAGATTTTTTAGATTATATTTTAATTCATTATTATATATGATCGGAATTGCGTAATGTCTAAAATTTCGAGTCTTGTAAAAAATGTTTCTCGTCCTGGAAACAAAAATAGCACTCGGAAATCCTTTTCGTGATTGAAATTCATCCAAATTGTTCCCATTATATTTTAATGAGGCCGGATGGCCGAGCAATTAAACATGGTAGACTTTTGCTCTGGGAGGACCCGGGATCTAATCCAGAAGGGTTGATGAGCCTCAGTCAGGGACTTTTCGGGGTATACACTCCGGATACGTCGGACCCCGTCGCTCACCACTCGGCCGCTCCATTATGGGCTTGGCCGAATCCACAACGCACTTGCTAAAAATGCCCTTTTAGTGCTCATAGGGTTAAAACATTTCTTAACTACATACACTTTTTGTGATTTTTGACTATCTAGTTGGGATAGTTGGTTGGCTAAGGAGGCGAACACTTAACCCAAGTTGTGGTCTGAGTCGAAAATTTTCGTGGATAATTTCACCCTGATATATCGGTTCCCGATCCTATGCTATCCATTCAGTCGTCCCCATTTTGGATCTAGCTCAGGGATCGACAACCCGCGACTCTTGATCTCATTTCCTCATTACACAGGTCTTCTCCGATAAGATAAGCTAACAGCTGATAAATTACTACTATTTAGATAAATGTTTGCTATGATGCCTAATGAATTTAAAAGAGAGATGTTACTTTTTCTGAAATATTTTATTATGAATTTAATTAAATTTATTAAGTTTTAGATACCAACCGAATACAAAAGAATGAAACTGGAGCCAATGGGCTAAACAGGACTTAGTTCTTCCAGCTGAAATAGTAGCTTACATACTAATCGTTACTATCAAACAAGCAAAGAATTTAACATTTCATATTGTACTCTTCGCAGAAGACTTAAAGATAGTATTTTAGCAAAACCAGCATTTGGATCAAATAAAATTTAATGTCAGGTACGGTACCAAAATGAACAAGACACTTGATTCTCATATAATTAAGTTACAAAATCGAAACAAGTAAAGCCGATTGGTATCGATGTGCGATGTACGAAAAATGATGGTATGAAACATGTACTGTACAATATATATTGCAGAGTATACTGAGCGTAGAAGGTACAAAAAGTATGTACAAGTTAATATTTTTATGGTACAAAAAGTGCATAATTTTGATTAAATAAAATGTTAAGTAAATTAGATAGCTCACCCTTTATTTAGGCAACTCTCCCGGAGGTACGGGATAAATGCCCAAAATAGTCAAGTGTCATTGTGTTGCTCCCTCTATGTTACCTATACCACCTATCGCGTAAGTTCGGGGTATCACTGTATGTATTTCTTCTGGAACACACAGTTAAGCAAGTTATATACGTTCATAAAAACTACAGGCGTCTCACCCGGTTTTACCCTATTTGTTAATCAAATATAAGTTTTTTTTTATAACTATCTGAAAAAGAAGACTTTATACACAAACTTATTCTCGCACACTTCAGCCATGATGTCTGAATAAATGTGTACTGCTTGTCTATAAAGCATGATTTACACTGGACAAGAGCGCGAAAGCAGAGAGCAAACAGTGCGAACGAGGCGAGCGAAGCGAATTTTTAACGTTATTGTTTAATTAAACGTATTATTAGTATTAACTTATTATTTCATAAAAAATTTTAATAAACAAGTTTTAGAAACTTATTTTTTTATAGCTAAGCTTTCGCACGTATTCTACATGAATACGTGCAAAAGCTTTACGTTTCATCCCACTTATGTTTTAATTCGCAATTATTTTCATTATAATATATTTCATTAGTTTCAGTGAATGCGTGTTCTGCCGAAAAGACTTCTGTCGAGTTCTTCAGAATAATCAAACTACCATCCTTATAAAGCTTGTCTCCTTTTAACTCATTCTAACGATTACCTACACACCCACCTGCCTACATAAATGTTATGATAGATCTCACGGTGCATTTGTATATTCTTTAGGTCAGAACAAGTTGGTCATTTAAACTACTGTAGTTTGTTTTTTCGCGCGAATTCGCACAAATATTTACTTCATATTGTGTATTATGTATTTAGAGATGCTTTATGCAATTCTATTGAGAAAGTATTCAAACGTTTTAGGTGACATCCTAAAATACTCAAAGAACTTGTTCGGTTTTGAAATACAGTAATGTGTGGTACTCTCCATTTCCCCCCTTTTCTATTGAAGCAAACATTTTTTTCACGTATTCTGATCTTCCATTTATAAGTAACACTTTTAATAACAAAAGTGTTACTTATAAACTTACTTAATAATATTATAAACATACTTAATAATAAAGAGCTTTCCAAATAATTCGAATCATCTGTGGCATCAATTTTCGTTGCGATGTAGACCCACAGTGCACCTAAATTTTTTCTTCGAATACGCATATACTATAACCGAGATCACAAGCTTCTTTTGTTAAAACACGCATCCACATACCCTTAACAATGATCACCAAAACTACGGTTCACTACTTTTGGCACGTTGTTACATTTGCAACTTAAACGATAAACGTAATTAATTACGATTGTAAATCTATTTAAAATTTATTTTTCATTTGCATAACTGCGGCTATTGACAGCTCAGTTTTCAATCAAATTTTGAAAATTAGTTCTTTTCCCAAAACTATCTGTCGATTCTTGAAGAGCTCACGGTGATTGGAAAAAGGCCATCTTACAAGTCAGTGCCCGCAATACAGAAAGAGCGAAAAAATTTACAATTTTTGATCGTTTAGCCTATATGTTTTAGAAAGAACGTAACCGTGATTTGCGAATTGAGACAGTAGAGCCGTATTATCCTTTAACTAATAATGTCGCAGATAAATTCATAACAGTGTAAACTCTTTCTATACTAGAGTAACAACTTAAACTTTTCAACTAACCCCAAAATTACGTAACATGTATCCCTTCATTGCGCTTAAGAATAATATATAGCATAGAAAATCGAACATTATATTATTTTAATTACATGTTTCAGCGTACAAAGCAGTGACATAAACAGTAGAGTTTACTACGCAACGCTTCAGAAACAAAAATGAATCATCCAAAGATTGAGACCGTAGTATTACGTAACGTTTCTGTAAAGGCCATCTTCACGTAACTCATCGTAACGATTACCTACATACCCACCCGCCTATATCTGCAATACGTAATTTATGGACAGTCTCTAATCTCTGCGTTTATTAGGAATATCGAAAATTACGATATTAAAGTGACTACATAATTTTACAGTTTGAATTATATTAAACGCTATTTTTTGTAAAAAGTTAAATATTTAATGACAGATTTAATTAGAATAAATAATATAATAATTAACAAATTAATTGGACATGATTTAAACCGGTTTGTAGTCTCTCTCCGACTACACTCGAGGATAACTCTATCAGATGCTAACTTAATAATAAAAGTTGTTTAGGAATTACACTTAAAGAATAATAATGAAAATATAACATTCGATATTCTCTAATATAAATTTACGAATTAATTTTATTTGAAAAGTTATTTCAACTTACCTGATTTTAGCGATTCTTAAAATAAAGCTGTGAATCGGTGAACGGATAACAAATTTAATGCCTTTTGCAAGATTCTCTTCGAATCGAATATAATTTTACTTATTTTTAAATTTGGGAGAATTTTCTATATAGAATTTCGAGATTTTCCGACTATCAAACTGCAACCAGAGTCGAAGCTTATCGGACAATGGCTATTTGGCCTGCGAAAAACATAACACAGTGCGCTCTCACGCAACCCATAACGATTTTTGTTCCATTATTAAGTACTTGAAGGAATCTAGCAACCGTTTCGAACGAAAAACACTATATAATTATGTAAAGCTTTATTAATTTTATATCTTTCAAAATATAGTTTATCGTTCTACTTTAGAATTCATCATCGAAGCAGCAGCTATTATATCAATATGCCAAATAATAATATCGAATTTTTGTCAATTTCATGATCATTTACTATTATTTTTATTCCTAAAACTAACGGAAAAATATGAATTTTGCTGAATTTTAAATGTATTTTTTTCTATTTTTATATAGAGTAAAATTATAGTAAGTTATTATATTATTAAAAATTTATTTTCTTCTTATATAAATTTTAAATCCTGTTCGAATGTAAAACCTTAAAATGGCTTCCTCGCGTGTTCGACCATTAAAATTATTTCAAAACAATTAATCAATAACTTAAAAAATAAAAAAATTTAAACATATAGGCCTACTCAGAAGAATGTAAACATGTAAATTGGCGCGATTTAATTTTACACTTTTTGGATTTATTATAAATTAAATATTTTAAACTGGCTTTTCTACTATATTAACACCTTTATAGGGCTATTTTTAGTCAATATCTTTTATATATCATTAAGTCCATTAATGTAGTCTATAATTGGTGATAGCGGATGAACCCGTGAACAAATCGATCTTTAATCCGTTTGCTCTGCGTTACGAATCGATAAAATGGCGAAGAGAAGATAATGCCTTCCACTCTTTACTAATGTATATTTAGGTGTGGTGAATGAGAAAAACAAATCGATATTAAATGGCGTTCGAATAGTTAAATGTTTGCATAACAGATGGCAGCACAACGTATTTATATGAAGTACTGTACATCTAAGTGTATTATAAGGTCTCTTCGATTGGTTGGATAGTATACATTTTTACGTCGACATGACATCATTACTTCAGTTTTACAATGAAAAATTCTAAAGAATGACGTCAAATTTATGTAAAAATATACACTATCTCAACCAATCGAACAGACCCATAGTCCTTTGTGCAGTAAAGTATAATCTCACGGCTGTCTCGCTGAAAATATCTGTCATTTTCAGTTTTTCGAGTTTATTCATTTTATTTGAAGGAATGTGAATATTTCTTATGAAACCAAATTATATTTTTAATACAAAAATAAATACATTTTAATAATACAACTTTTGTTTTCAAGTATGTATTGATAGTAATTGCTTAATGAATTTGGACTATTGGAATTTTTACATAAATGTGTGATTTTACTGTTGCTAGATGATGAAGACTGGTATATTGCCCAGCGCTTAACTTGGAGATATTTCCTTCTTAATTTTAATTAAAATTTTTACCCATAATAATATATCTAAATATTAAAAAAGAAGGACAAAATTTCTGTAAATGTATAAGATTGAATTAAGAACGAGTCAAATTCTATCATTACTTCTTTAAATATCCAAAACTACTCTGACTCTATCGATTGTGTATCTGGCTCACGACACGGCCTCTTATAGCTAAATAACAATAATATCTAGATTTTCTCGTTTAATAATTAGTTATTTAATCAGTCATTAAACGATTAAAAAAATTAAATTACATCCGGAAAGGGAAAAAAAATAAAGGAGAAATGTCCGTTCGTCGGAATCTGTCCGGCAAAAGATAGAGAAGAAAAAGTCGAGGGAAAAACCCGCGTAAAATTGCACCGGTCAGACGAGTAGTTAACTACCTGGTTGTGACGTCACGACACAGGTAGAATAAGGAGGGAGTGTGACGCACGTGAAAACTCCGAGAATCCGCCATTCATCCTCTCTGCGTTAACCCTTTACCTCCGAGCGCATGCCCAGTGACAAAATAGCTACAGGTGATTGCACTTGACAGAAAAGTGACCGAAGAATCGAATCGAGCATCTTTCATCCTAACGTAAAGGTGAGAATATTTATTCCAAATTTACTTAAATATTTTATTATTATTATTTTAATAAATATAAGCCTATATTATAATTTTTCTCGACAATTTTTAAAAATTTTTCTACGAATATTAAAAGAAGTATTGTCTCCGGATATCAGTGAGGTATGAAAAAGAAAATAAATAAATAACTCGTAAGGAAATTATTTTAAAAATTTTTATTTGATAATTACGAAACGAAGTTCCATAGAATTCGCTATCCAATCCTTAACGGTGGGGTATTTATACGGTAAAAGCGAAACCGTGACTGTTCTATGTTTGCATTTAAATGCCGATTTTGTGTCATTTGTCGCTGCTGATTAAAAAAAAACAAAAAAACAAAAATAAAAAATAGGCTGTATTTGTTGCGCTATTCTGAGATGTTTCTGCTCAAAAAATGAGGAGAAATAACTCTGGTTAGTTGTGTATATATTCTATCACATCTGCGAGATTCGACCTTCCACTTCGTTTCGGTACGAAGGACGAAAAAATTATCTTAAAAAAACTAAAAACCTATCATAATAACATTATAAACTTCTTTTATTTTAAATTGTTTTCACATTAGACCTTAATCGGATCGATATATATGAAATTACATACGATGTAATAAGAATGTATTGTGTGCAGGAGTTGCAGAAAGTGTTGACTGAGTTGACTAATTTAAATGTAAGAATTTTGTTTTCGTCAGCATCTATTTAGTTTAAAAAACCATTTATTTAAAAAATAATTTTCATTGAAATTAGGTCAGTTAGATCAGAAACAGGAAACGGAGGCACGCCTCCTCGGGCTAGTCTTTATACTGTCGAAAAAACACTTTTTTTGGTTAAAATATGGTTTCTTTTCATTCTCTTCTCTTTGTATAAATATTCAGGAAACCGAATTTTTCAATTTCCTATATGTTTCTATTTAACTTTCTATGGAGGAAGGAAGTGATAACTTTTATTGAGAAATTGTCGCGTCACTATCAGACTTCACCATCGAATTCATGAATAAATAATTTGCAACAACAATCATATCGTTATATTATAGATTATATGGATTTTAATCGTGTAATTTAAGCTGTAAACAAGAATATGGTCTAGATTTTTATCAATAATTTTTTTAATTAAAATCTACGTAATGTCTTTTTAGCGTAAGAGTTGTTTCGTATAAATTACACATTATATAACTTGTTATTATATTCAGAAAAATGCCATAATTTTAAACTGGTTTTTTTTTATGTTTTCGGGAAATTTTTAAATGCTTTAATACAGAAAAAATGTAAATATAATAAACCGTCGATTTAACGGAGGAATGGGGGGAAAGAGGGGAGCGCTATTACCGAAAGTCGTTAAATCGTATGTGTTTTATATAAACATATATTAATAACTAACTTAAAATGAGTTAACTGTTATTGCAATGTATATGTATACATAAAATAATATAAGAATGTACTATACAATACACTGAAAAATTTATACTGTTTGACTCATTGTTCAACCTTATAGCATGCTGTATGCGCGAATAAAAAACCCGAAATTCTTTAAATCGGGGGGTCTGTTAAACCGAGGGTTTACCGTATTATGAAGATGCTTTAAAAGTGTAAAAGATCAAAAAAAAAAAGACCCCAATAAAAAGATTCTTTTGTGTTTCTATGCAACAACTGGGTCTAATTGATAAAGATCGATTAAATACAATTGCTGCCTACAGGCCTATATTTGGGTTTATTGCCGACATCGAGTGCAACAAGGTTTATTGAGTAGAAAAACTCGACACTGTTCGAATATTCTATTCATTATCATGTGTAACTAGTTCTATTTACAACCCAGTTTATCGAGTCTATCGAATTTTTTTATTACTTATTTCAGAATTGCTGGCATTTTATCGATATTATATTTCGTCGGTCATCGCTTCTCGATTTAAATAAATAAAAAGGAAGTAATCTTTATTCCATATTTTATTATTTTTATTAAAAAAAAAAAAACATTTAAAATTAAAGTCAACGAAACCAGTCAGACGGGAATTATAATGGTGATTATGTATTTTCTTTGACTACATTATCTGGAATGTACTGACATCAGTGAATTCGTTATCCGGCAATACCGGTGTTAATAGCTATAACTAATTATAAATAATTGAATTCCATGAATCAGTGTAATTGCTATTTTATGTTTTAGTTGAAACATTAAAAAAAAAAAACCCGGTAGTCATAGTCGTCCATGTTTTTCTATAGAATCCAGTTCTTGTAGTTGGTTAGTGACTCAAAACGTTAATAATTCAACACTATACGAGATTTCGGCTTGCTTTTTATTATTTATTTATTAAAATATGCGTTAAAATGATTATCTTGGCAATTTAAAGTATTAAACACATTTACATTAAGATGAACGATGCGCAATTGTTAGAAAAGATTTGCATTACTTAATATAGAAATATAGCAACGAATTAGCATGTAAAGATAAGAATGAAGGTTTGATTCAAATAAAATATATAATCGGTTAGCCAGCAAGAACCGATATTAAGCGGATTCGAATTGAAACGTGCAAACCTACGTTAATCCCTGTATCATCCTGACATTGTCACTAGCGCTGCAGATGAAGAGAAAACTCATAGATATTGTATATACTGTACATAAGTACAAATGTATTTATCACATTTAAATATTTTTCTTGTATTTAGTTTTTTTTTTTTCCTTTGTTTATTTATTTGCAAGATAAGGGGTCTCGGATCCTTCGGTTTCCTCCCTGATTATGTTACTGCGATTTGCATAAAGATTACGGAATAATTTATTTCAGATTTTCTAGTAATTTAAAATTTTAGATATATTAAATTGAAAATGTTTACTGACAAAATAATATAAATCTTAAGCATTCCTTTTTAAGTTGGGGTAATCGGTATATAAAGTATCTATTGTTATTATAATTATTGCATAGTAGAGTAGGATTACATCGAATGAATGTACACTTAATTTATCCTATTACGTGTGAAATTTACTGTTTTCTGAAACAGTAAACGCATTGCATAAATGTGGAATTTAAGCGTTTACTGTTTTCTGAAACAGTAAACGCTTAAATTCCACATTTATGCAATAATTCTAATAGACATTTTAGCGACTTCCATCCCGCCTTAAAAAGGAGTGTTTTAAATTTTAACTAAAAATAACAATTTGTATATTAATTAAATATTTAATTTGGAATATATTATATACAATTAATTAATTAAAAATTGAATACAATTGAAATACGGAATTAAATATAAAAATTAGTTTATAGTTTCGAATCGAATATCGTTATTTTCATATAAATGTCTCCAATTTTAATCACATATAATTTCTGTATCAAATTACTAAATTTGATTTAATCTCAGTTAATAATTTATTTTAGAATAATTGCCAATAATAATTTTAATAAAATTTCTATATTCGCTCGGCTAAAATCAAACGTAACATACGTTACATAAATATTTGCATTCATACTCCAATTTCGCTATAAATTGGTATTTGTAAATTTAAATTGAACACTCAAATTTCAAAGTTACTTAATGATGCTTGAAGAAAATGGAATCAGTTAACTAAAGATCGAAAATCCAAGTACAGTGAAACCTGCTAACGTGACCACTTTGAGCTGGTCCCTTTAGTGGTCACATTAGCAGGTTCACTGTATGTTGTTGATATGAAATTGATGGCACATGATTTGCAACTTACAAATTAGAAGCATAAATGCAACCGTTTTTGATTTAAAGCAATTTTTTAAAATTCTTCGGCCATCTAGCCGTCTGTTAAGTAGTTAGGAATAACTATAATTATCTTAGAATGTTGGATTATTTAAAATAATAATAATAATAATAATAAATATGTGACTTACATCACAAATATTCAAGGAGAGATTGAGACAATTATGACAAATTTGTATGGCGTTAGTTACTTATAATATCTTGTGAATACACAAACACAATATTTTTAAATGTTTAAAAGTGAAAAAATTATGTGAAAAAATAACATTACAAAACAATTTTCACAATAATTTCCTTAACATAAAATGCAATAATTATTCTCATTCACTAAATATAAACGTATACTGTATATTGAACAAAGTATATATTATAAAATCGTTAGTTTGCTTTTATAAAACAAAAATGCACAAATCAAAGTTTAAAATCGGAATCGGTAATGGAGTAAATCTCAATATGATTTTCGTGTTTATCACGATCGCGATTTATTTCAAGAACAATTCCTACGTTAAATCGAAAAATATCAAAATATATTTAAATTGAATATATAAATTAATTTAATAATGTAGTAATTATTGAAAGAGAAGTAAATGATTATTTCGAGATATTAAATATGATATTTAAATTTAATTTTATTGAGAAACTTCTGAACATTGGTAGTTCAGCGGTTCGCGCCTGACTAACAATCTGGCAAAGTGAAATTTTCCGGGTTTTCTTCACATATTTAACACCTAACTAGGGGCCAGTTTCTCATTGAAGTCCTCCCGGCATCCCCCTCCTCGTCGGCAGATCGTCTAAGTGTTGCAGTGCTTTATATTCAATTCAATCCAATCTTATTCGGTCTTATAATTCCATTTTAAGTAGCGATTTAATAATTTTATGCTTACCTTATGCTTATTGCATTCAAAAATAAAAATAATAATACCATTAATGTAATCTGAGTATTTCCAAATTATTACATTTTATCTATTCAATTCTTATTGTTCATCTGTTTTCCATCATAGGAATGAAGAAGAGGAAATGATAGAATCCTTCTAACATCATGCCGATACCTGAACATTTTTCAGGTAGAGAGAGTGCCTTATATAACAGGAATCGCAATATTAGTCTAATATTGGAAAAATATTCAAATTTATCACTTAAATAATTTATTTATGTTTATTTTAAATATGATTTTAGATAGGTACAGTTTTTAGTGTTTTAGTAATCGAAAACTTTAGTTAACCAATTAATTTTTTCCAAATGATTGGCCATGGCACAATTTCTTTCTTAAA